CAGGGTCTGCGCCAATGTCCGGCACCGGGCACCGGCTGAGGGCATCCGCATGCCCAATCGCTTTCCCAGGCCGGTGCTCTAAGTCAAAATCATAAGCCTGCAAAAATATCGCCCATCTAAGCATGCGTGGGGACATGATGTTTGGCAATTGCTTATCGGGCGCAAAAATCCCCAGTAGCGGCTTGTGGTCAGTGACCAGCAAAAATCGTCTGCCAAAAATAAAATCATGGAACTTTTTGACAGCCGCTACCAACGCCAGACCCTCCTTGTCTATCTGGGCATAGTTCCGCTCTGCCGCAGATAGTGATCTAGAATAAAAAGCGATAGGCGCTTCGCTCCCATCAGGCATCAGATGGCTTAAAACTGCGCCTACTCCAAACGGTGAAGCGTCAGCAGCTAACACCAGGAGCTTGTGTTCATCATAATGCGTGAGTACGGCATTAGATGTCAGCAGCTCCTTGACTCCCACAAAAGCCTTTTCCTCGGCCTGCCCCCACTTCCATTTTGCCTCCTTGTGCAAAAGCGCGTGCAAAGGGGCCGCCACTGATGCCTTATGCGGTAAAAACGCATGATAAAAATTCAGGAGTCCTAAAAAGGATTGGAGCTCCTTCTTACTCACCGGCCTGGGGGCGTTTTGGATTGCAGATACCTTCTCATCCGTGGGGTGGACTCCCTCTGCGTCAATGCGAAACCCCAGGAAGTCCACACTTTCCACCCCGAGCGTGCATTTTGAGCGCTTAACTCTGAGGCCGGCATTTTGAAAACGCCTGAGGACCTCTTTAACCCGGTCCAGTAGTTCCTGTTCAGACCCGCCCGCAATCAGCACGTCGTCAAAATAGGGCACTGTGCCAGGTACCCCCCTTAGTAGACGTTCCATGAGGCCCTGAAAAATCCCAGGTGCTACGTTGACCCCGAATTGCAGCCTGTTCACTTTAAAAGCCCCTTGGTGGGTTACAATTGTTTGGGCCTCGGCAGCCTCCGGGGTGACAGGCAACTGCTGGTATGCCTGGGCCAGGTCAAATTTGGCGAAAATCTTGCCACCCCCCAGGGAAGCCAAAATGTGGCTTATTACCGGGACCGGGTACGAATGTTGCTGCAGCGCCTTGTTAATCGTACATTTGTAATCGGCGCATAGTCGTATGGACCCATCTGATTTGACAGGGGTTACGATCGGGGTCTCCCATTTGCTGTATGGTACTGGCTCTAAAACCCCTTGCTCAACTAGTTTGTCAATCTCTTTTTCCACCTTATGTTTGAGAGACACAGGTACTTTCCGATACTTCAACCTAATAGGTTTGACTGACGGATCTAAGTCAAACGCAACCGGGGGGCCCTTGTACCTTCCCAACCCTTCGGCAAATACATCAGGGAACAGGTCGTACAGCATGCCCCATTTATTTTCAGACATCCTGTTAATCCCAGAAATACCGATGCCCAATGGCTCAAACCAATCTAACCCTAGCAGGTTAACCCGGTCTCCCTCTGCAATCAGGAATGACAGTTTAACACATTTCCCCTTATACTCAACAGTAACAGAGTCCCGTCCGGCCAAGGGAATTCGGTTGCCCTGGAAGTCGGACACTCTGGTTCCCGCAGGCTGGAGCCGCCGCCGGCTTCGGTTCGGGAACAACTGGCGCCAGGACGCGGCAGAAATCACCGTCACGGACGATCCTGAGTCCACCTCCATTGTACAGGGTCGGCCGTCGAGGAGTGGAGTCACGGTGATCTTGCCCTGGCTGCTGGTGCGATTTACGGCCGATGCGCTCGACAAGGTCGCCGTCAACTGGCAGCTTGCTTCCGATGCTGAGGAACGGGTCTTGCCTTGGGTGCTGACTGGAGTGCCCCTCTGCGCTGACCGGTTGTTAGTTGAGGGATCCTTCTTCGCTGATCTGCAGACTCTGGCCAGATGACCACGCCGCCCACACGCTCTGCAGTCGACATCACGAGCCCAACAGGAGCCGCGCTGGTGCTTCCCGCCACAACCGGAGCAAGGCTTGACGTTGGTAGTCTTCGCTGGGGTCCGCTTGCCTCGAACCGCGTTGACGTCATCATCCGCGTCTTCGCCCTCGCTGTCTCGTTGAGCGTGTATACTGGGCTCTGCCACCCGCTGGCGGACCTCCTTCGTGGACTTCTCCGCTGCTTCCGCGGCCACGGCCTCTTCGTAGGCCACTGCCCAGGTCAGGGTGGTGCGGGCGAACAGCCTCTGTTGCAGCCTTTCATCTTTGAGACCGCAGACGAGACGGTCTCTGAGGGCTTCCTCCACGTTGTGGAAATTACATGGCCGTGCGGCTTTGCGAAGGGCCGCCACGAAATCTGCGATGGTCTCGCCTCCGGCCTGGTTCCGCTTGTAAAAAGCGTGCCGGCAGGCGATCTCCGACGGTTGTGGAGAATAGTGAGCCTTAAGCTTCTCCGTGATGTCAGCGTAGGTGACAGTCTTTATATCAGTTGGGGCCACCAACGACCTGGCTATGTCGAAGGTCCCCTTCCCGCAGGAACTCAGGAGGCATGCTCGTTTCTTCGCCTCATCGGTGATGTCGTGGGTCTCCAGATGGAACTCGAACCTGGACAGGTAGGAGTCCCAGTCTTCTGAGGAGGGTTCGAAGCACTCGAACTTCTGGCTTCCAGCCATCGGGGGAGACTTGGGCACCGGAGCTGGTGGCGCCTCCGCCGGATCGGCTGCTGTGCTCTGCCCGCTTTCTTCCGAGTCCGAAGTGTGGATGTCCGCAGGGCTGCCTACCTGCTCTAACATCCCATCCTCGTCGCCAATTGTTAGATCGCGCTAACAAAGGACTCGTACAGTGAACCTGGATAGGTAGGAGTCCCAGTCTTCTGAGGAGGGTTCGAAGCACTCGAACTTCTGGCTTCCAGCCATCGGGGGAGACTTGGGCACCGGAGCTGGTGGCGCCTCCGCCGGATCGGCTGCTGTGCTCTGCCCGCTTTCTTCCGAGTCCGAAGTGTGGATGTCCGCAGGGCTGCCTACCTGCTCTAACATCCCATCCTCGTCGCCAATTGTTAGATCGTACTAACAAAGGACTCTTAGAGTGATTCAGCAAGTGATTCAGCTTTATTGGAAGTAACGAACAAGCACTCAACTCAGTAAGAAACCAGAACAGAAAACAGTGGGAGCTTATGCTCCTTTTAAACATAACCGGGCTAATGTAGCCACGCCTATTTACATTTAACAACCAATGAGATTGCTAGGATAAAGGCCAATGGGAGTCTTTCCCTCCTAGGGAATGGTATCGTTCTGATTGGTCGCTGTTACGAAGCGACCAATAGGAAGTTCGCTCAGAGGAGCCCTGGTCTGGCTTGAAGCTTAACATTGAATGTAAATGGGCCGATTCAAGTGAGGATTCCGATACATTACATAGCCAATCCTCCAACAGCTTACAGTAGCTCCTTTAAGAAGAGCTCTGTAAGCTCTTGGAGGATTGGCTACATTAGGGGTGTGTGGCCTAATATGCAAAGGAGTTCCTGCTACAAAAAGAAGCCCTGCGTCCTGCGAACAGGCGGCTGATCAGTTGTCCTGGAGAAAAAGGATGCTTTGGAGGGTGGACTCTGTGGCACTTGACCTCACTAAAGTCCCTGTCCTGCCCAGGCTCCATCCCCCAATCTCCAGGAGTTTTCCAACTTGGATCTGGCAACCCTACCCCCCCTCATCTCCTGGCAACCCTATGGGTCTCCACGATCCTTGGAGGAAGGGTGGGATAAAAGTGTGATGAATATTTATTCCTGTCTTACAAATAGGTTGGGGAGGGTTGGGAGTGAGGCTAAAATGCCACCGTTTGCTAAAGACTACCCGGGCTATTCATGACAGAGGTAGAAGAAGAGATTGGATTCATACCCACTACCTGAGGGAGTCTCAGAGCGGCTTACAATCTCTTTTCCCTTCCCCTCCCCACACCAGACACCCTAGGTAGGTGGGGCTGAGAGAGCTCTCTCGAGAACTGCCCTTAAGAGAATAGCTCTGAGAGAACTTGTGACTGACCCAAGGTCACACCAGCAGCTGCATGTGGAGGAGTGGGGAATCAAACCCGGTTCTCCCAGATTAGAGCCCGCGCTCTTAACCACTACACCAAACTACCGGGCCCTCTGGACCAGCATGAATAACAGCTGCTCAACTTGTACATTTGCACTGCTGTCATGTGTGCATGTTTCTGAGTCCCCTACCTGCTCATGCTATATAATTAAGGATGCCAGCCTCCAGATGGGGCCTGGAGGACCCCCCCCCTGAAATGACACCTCCAGATGTCAGAGATTAGTTCCCCTTGAGAAAACTGATGCTGTGGAGGGTGGGCTTTGTGACATTGTACCCCTGTGAGGTCCCTCAGTCCTCCCCAGACTCCATCCCTAAATCTCCAGGAGTTTCCCAACCTGGATCTGGCAATCCTACCCCCCCACCAGGGTGTACCTGGCTACCCTATTTTCAGTGGAGAGCCAGTTTGGTGTAGTGGTTAAGTGCGTGGACTCTAATCTGGGAGCACCAGGTTTGATTCCCCACTCCTCCACTTGCACCTGGCTGGATGCCCTCGCACAGTTCTCGGAAAAGACCAGTTTCTGTCAGAGCTCTCTCAGCCCCACCTACCTCACAGGGTGTCTGTTATGGGGAGGGGAAGGGAAAGGAGTTTGTAAGCCGCTCTGAGACTCCTTTGGGTAGTGAAGGGCGGGGTATAAATCTAATCTCTTCTTCTTCTTCTAAACTGGCTTTATTAGAAGGCACCATAGAAATCTCACTGCTTGGGAGAACGGGGAGGATTAAATGGTGTCACAGGAAAATACAGAGAACCAGGGACAGAACATGGCGGGATGCCACGATGAACAATAGAGGTGGAACTAATGAATGGAGGAGGAGAAGTGGGAAAAGATCTCGTGGACTGGTCAGAGAGGCTGGGAGAATCTGATATACCCACTTCAGATTATCTACCCAGAGAGTCTAGCATCCTGTCTATGACTGTCATTTGGCGGTTATTTATTTTGATCCCCCTGCTGTTTCAACGTAGGCCGAGGAAGTCGGGTACCGAATTTGTAGAGGATTCTGATATGTGTTCAAGCCCCCACTTCGATGGACCGCTGAGCTTCAAGGATATCAAGGTACAGGGACGGCGTCAGCGTACCCTGAGGTGGGGCAGTTGCCAGGGACTTCTGGTGGGGCCCATTGGTGCTGACCCCCACCCATAAACCTCACCTGCCACCTGTCTGCACCCGTGCTCCCAACCACCCCCAGTGGCATTGAGGAAGGGGATGTAGGTGGTATGCAGTGGTTGCCCTCTTCGGGGCAATGGCAGGGGTGCAGGCAGGAGAAGGATATTGAGGTTAACCGGTGTGGTTAGTTCAGTCACCGCTAGTTAGCAGAGGGCTTAAATAAAGCTACAAACGCAGCAGCGTCACTCTACCAGGCTACTCAGCTTACAGATCTACACAGAGCCACGTTGCAAGTTTAGAGGAGAAATACTCCTCTCTTTATTTGAGAATTACACTTTGGATAGGAAAGAGTAGGGACAGGATAGAGTACTAACTTACTAGCTAAAGGATGGAGGCAGATGGGGAGAGGCCCATCTGCCTCATGGTGCCAAGAGAGGACCACATGTCTCTGTCTTGGTGCATGCAGGTAGAGAGTGAGACTCTTCATGTGAGTGAGAGAGAAGAAGGAAGGGGAAATGGTCCCTGAGAAGGCAATCTGCATTTCAAAGACAACAGTGGCAGAAGAGCAGAGACAGGAAGAAAGGTCAGTGTGCCCATCTAGCTATCTAGTCTCTCTTGTCACGCAGTCTGGAGGTCTGAGACACAGGGGGCATCGCATCTGGAACTTCCAACAAAGGTCACACAGGCAGGTGGGGGGGCTTGCAGACGTGAGGATAGAAAGGAGGACATGAGGGGCCTGGTGGGGGGGGGGGCAGAAGGGCACTGTCTGCCCAGAGCCCCCCAAAACCTGGAACTGGTCTTGTCAAGGTATTTTGGGCTCAGCCTTGACACTCAATGGGAAAGGCGGCTATCAAAGAAGCGAGAAGGGTTAGTCTGTCTGTAGCAGTAGGAAAGAGAGAGAGTCCAGGAGCACCTTCAAGACTAACAGCATTTGTGGATTTCATGAGTCACGGCTCACTTCTTCAGATACCTTTTCACCCTTCCACAAGCCACAACGAGTCACAACCACAACCCTCCCAGCTATATTGTTACATCAGTTGTTGTAGATTTTCCGGGCTGTATGGCCGTGGTCTTGGCATTGTAGTACCTGATGTTTCGCCAGCAGCTGTGACTGGCATCCTCAGAGGTATAACACAGAAAGATGGAGTACTCTCTGTTTTAAGTATTGACAGGCAGGAGACGATCAGTAACGAGGCTTTTATTCATAACATTGCTCGGCTCTGATCTGCTCTGATAAGAGCGGCACCCAAACTTATACCATTCCAGTACTGAACTATATACAATGTTGCTACTTCCGTGAGTTCTGATTGGACCTAAACGGAGCCTCCTGATTGGGTACACTGTCTGGCTGCGGGACCACTAGAAGGTCTTTATTAGGCAGCCAATCATAACGGAGGAACTAGAATGCTTCAGCACAAACCCGAACACAACAGCATAACTCAGAACATCTCTGTGTCAATGTGAGAAGACAAATGGTAGGCAGGTAATTTATATCTACTCAGGAAGGTGGGGTAGGGCTGAGTCATTATGTTGTAGGAGTTTCCCAGGCTGTGACATGTTAATGGGGGAGCTTTGCTTAGGAGGTTCTTTTGCATATGGATGGGCTGTTGAAATTCTAATCTTATCTGTAGTGCAGTTGTAAGATGTAGAGCATTAAAGCCTTCGACAAGATATTGCTACCCTTTCCCAGCATACTCTCAGCTTAGCAGAGGAATCTGTCCTCTCAAGAGAATTATCCTTCTGCCTACTTAGAAAAGAGACAACTAAATATGCCAAAGGACAGGCTGCAGTTCTGTTTATGCACTACAGGGGGTGCCAGAGCAGGTCTGACAACAACAACATCTTTTTTAAAAACAGGATGACCTTGAATCGATTTCACCCCAAAACCAAGGCCAGTCTACGACTGAGAAGCAGGTGCAGTTAAACATGCTGACCTCAGACCAGGAAAAGAATTCCAAGCTGAAGGCTGTCAAAACTCAAGGCTCAGGTAAATGAAGAGGTCTGCCTTCCGGGCGAAAGTAGGGTTGTGAACCTCCAGGTGGGGCCTGCGGCTCTCCCAGAATTACAACTGCTCTCCGGGCGACAGAGATCAGTTTCCCTGGAGAAAATGGCTCCCCAACCCGGGCCGCACTCCCGAATTTCCAGGAATTTCCCAGCCTAGAGTTGGCAACCCTCTGACAGTCCTGCCTTTGCAGCGGAAAGAGAGAATATGGGGATGTTCCACCCATGGGGCTGGTGTAGTACGGGCCCATAGCCAGCAGTGGGGCACTGGGGGGCAGCGCCCCCTATCAAATTTGCAGCACCCCCATGCTTCCTGCCCGTTGCACTTGTAGCCGGCTGCCCGGCAGGGTCCTTCCAGCCAGGGGACTTTGCTGTCCCCACAGCTTGGGCAAGGACGGCCGCCAAAGAAGTGTGGCCCCGCAGGCTTCTGCCCCCCTCCTCTACTGGGCGCTCCTCTGCCTTGAGCGTGTCGCAGCAGCAGGGGCTGGAACTGCTCCAGGCGTGAAGGGGAGCACCCAGGCCCTCCACCATGTGACCTGAGCTGGCTTGGCAGGAGGGCGGGACAGGGCGACTATGGGGGGAAGGAGCTGGGTGGCAGTCCAGGAGGGGAAAGCAGGAGCGCCAGCCATGTGGAGAAGAGGGGCAGGGCAGTCGCAGGGAACAGAAGTGGGCAGGGAGAGGAAAAGTGGCCGGCAGGGAGGCCATTCCCCTTCCTCAGTTATACAAAAGGGGATTTAATTGGTGCCTCCCGGCACTCCCCTGTGAAAAATTCCTGGCTACAGCGGTGGTGTAGTGTCCAAAAAAAGTGCTTCCTTTCAGATTTTGGCTCATGGAGGAATTGGGAGAAGGACACACTTGATATTAGCCGATATGGGCAGGTAAGGGCAGAAGCTCTACTCAGTGGAAGAGATGGCACATCTTCTGTTCTTCCTAGTTCTGGAGGGATTTTGAAGTTTCTGTCATGATAAGCAATTTTCTGCTCTCCCCACCCACAAGTGTTTTCTTCCTCTGAGCCTGCAGTACACACAGTCTCGAAGCCTCTTTCCTCTACTTTAGTTTGCCCACATTTTCTATGTGGTGTAGGTATTTTGAGTCCAGCAGCACCTTAAGAGACCAACGATATTTCCAGGCTAGAAGCTTTTGAGAATTAAGGTTCCCTTTGTCAGGCATCTGACAAAGACAGCTTTGACTCTTGTAAGTGTGTACATAAGAACATAAGAAGAAAACCCGATGGAACAGACCAGTGGTCCATCTAGTCCAGCCTCCTGTCTCACACAGTGGCCAACCAGTTCCTCTGGAGGGCCAGCAACAGGGCGCCGAGGCCTTCCCCTGAGGTGGCCTTCTGGAACTGGGATTCAGAGGATTAGTGCGTCTGAATGTGGAGGTTCCCCTCAGTCACCACAGCTAGTAGCCACTGGTAGACTTATCTTCCATGACTCTAATTCCCTTTTATAAGAAAAAACAACATATGAAGAGAACTGCTGGGTCAGACCAGTAGGTCCATCTAGTCCAGCATCCTGTCTCACGCAGTGGCCAACCAGTTCCTCTGGAGGGCCAGCAACAGGGCACAGAGGTCGAGGCCTCCCCCAATGTTACCTCCTGGCTCTGGGATTCAAAATTTTAGTGCCTCTGACTGTGGAGGTTCTCCTCAGTCACCATGGCTAGTAGCCCCTGATAGACGAGAATGAATATAACTAACCCCATTTTAAACCCCATGAATCTAACTAACCCCATTTTAAAGCTATTGATTCCTGTAGACATCACTACCATCCCAGCAGCGAATTCCACATTTTAATCGCTCTCTGTGTAATAAAGTATTTCCTTTCGTCCGTCCTGAAAATCTTGTTGGGCTTTAAGGCGCTACTGGATTCAAATCTTCCTCATGTATGTATGTCGAATACCAATTTGTGATTCTCAGAAGGTCAGCAGGCAACAGGAGTTCTACTAGGGTTGCCAAGTCTAATGCTGGCCGGGAGCGGGGGACTCCCGGCAGAAGTGACGTAGGCACGACAGGCACGTTGGGGCCGGGGCCACGGCCATACAAGGGAAAACCATAGAGTTTTCCCTTGTATGGCCGTGGCCCCGCCCCCAACGTGCCCGGCGTGCCCACGTCACTTCCTGGTGATGCGCACGCGGGGCAGGGT